TTTTTGTTGGATAGTTCATTTGTCGAGGAAGGCTTTAAGCTATATAACATTACGCTACGACCAATAAAAGCGAAGCATCAGTGAAAATTGTTGCAAAACAGGGAACATAATTTATATTCCTCTTTAGATACATTATTCTTCTTATTAGAACGGACATAAAAATGCATTGCCGTAAAACTTTGAGATATATAATTATATGTATAAATACAAATAGTTTATTTCTAAACACAAATGTAGTAAAATAATGGTTGAAAATAATAATAATCTTTATTGTTTCAAATAATAAACTATTACAATTGCCAAAACGAAATTCAAAAGCAATAATTGAATAGAATAGAATAGAATAGAACATCATTTATTCAAATAAACTTAATTTAAGCACTTTTGAATTGTCAACATTTTTTTAAATCTACCGCTTTTTCCGAAAGCTGTCTCATCACAAGAAGAATAAGCAAGAAACTTGTGTGTATTGAGACAAAACGGTCTATAAATAAAAGAGTGAGTCCACCCTCTCTGCTATTCTGTTATAACCTTTATTAGACGAATCTTTTGTCGTATTAATTTAACGATAAAAGAACGACGACAACATGTAGGTATATAGATAGCACTTAAGTTCTAAACTGTCCTCTAGGTACTAACAAAGTATAACTGTTCAGACGAAACCGCAGGGATCACCTAGTTGTATATGAGAACCAAAAATAACATTTGAGATATAATATTACGAAATAACACTGACATATCTGTAAATAGAATTCCTTTAGCGTCAGTCTTACATTAGGAACATTAAGTGAAATGACACACGTTTGATCGAAGAAATTATCACGCCGCTAATTCAATTATAGCCTCAAAAATAGGCAAATGATTAATGATATTATGGTGCTGGTACATATATGGATGTACAGATTCCTAATTTTAGATATATGCTGTCATCATGTATAGTGAGGGGGAGGGATTGCCAGTAATGGGGACTTTTCTGTGAATAACGCTGCACAATCCATTTAATTCCAGATGAATTCACCACGATGGGTTTGTTGATTTGACGTCATATTTACACTAACTTGAATCGTCTGAGACACAAATCAACAATTAAAAAAAGTGATCATGTAACCGTATATTTTTTTTATTATATATTGACTTTGTCTACAAACACGTCAACCCAATATCTAACCTAATTCTGACAAAACTAGAAAACGTTAATATACATATAGTCATATTCGTATTGATCTTTCATTTTATGTCTTTAAAACACTTAAACAAATAAACTCACTTTTATATAGTAATCCATATTAATATTATATATGCGAAATTGTGTCTAACCATCTGTTTATCAACTTGTCACGACAAATCTTCATGAAATTTGATGTGACGATAGATTGCATATGCATATATATATATATATGAAAAAATTCTAAAACACCGAAATATAGTATATATAATCCCCATTACTGATCCCCCCTTGCTCGACATTTTATATTTTCCGTAGTGGTTTTCCGTGTGATCGTTATAAAATTATTTTAATTGCAGCCGCCGAGCCTCCGGCCCCGTTCTCCAGTGCCTCGGGCGATTGATAAATACTTAACTGTTATTACATCACGTATTCATTATATCCATGTTAGGCCCTGGTAGGCACCTATCAGTGCCTAATATGGAAATATATTGCCTATTTATCCGTTATCCGACTGCTAAAGTGTTGAATATACATTCTAATATTATATTTTCGATCTATTCTATTTCTGCCTGTAGGATACGACTTCGGAGTTTTTTTTCTCTTATGGACGATTTACGCTGGCGTTTACCAGTGGAGGATGATAAGATGAGCATTAGGTCAGGTCAGTTAGCCCATCGTGATAAAATTCACCATGAATTTATGACGATGGTTTCCAGGGAAACCACGTGGTGTCAACCTGATATGGTACATTGCTTGGGGTTACTAATAATCCTATGGCAAGCAACACATTACTAACAATGACGTTACCCCACCACTTCAGAGTTATATAGCATTCAGTCCTTCCGCGAGTTTAGAGTGCTAAACTAGTCCCCATCATTATGTAGATAATAATATAAACTAGTAAGGGGGAAAGGGATTGTTAATAATGCGGACTAATGATCTTATTATCAGGATCCCTGTAGGGTGTTGGTCTGACTCCAGTACCTGGAATAGCAAACAAACTTACGACCCCTTGATGGTAATTGGTAGGGGGGAAGGGGATTGTTAGTAATGTGGACTAATAACCCCAGTGCTAGCAATGTACCATATCAGGTTGACCTCCACGTGGTTCCCCCTGGAAACCATCGTGATAATAAATAAAAATGAAATAAATTCTTGGTGAATATGTCATGATGGGATAACTGATGAGGTCAGTTATCCCATCATGACAAATCATATTCTCATCCTCTCTTGCTACTCTGTACCGTGAACCGTTAGTGCATGCGCGTGCACTATTCCATTATCATCTATAATATATATTTATATAAACTAGTGGGATGGTAGGGTTGTTAGTAATCTGGACTGTTTGCTAACAATGTACCATTTCAGGTTGACCTCCACGCCATCATGATAAATTCCTGGTGAATTTGTCATGAGGTGCTTACTGCCCTGAACTCATGTTCTTTTTATCGGCCTCCAATGGTGCCCCGACAGCGTAAACCATTATTCCATTATCAACAATTAAAAATAAATATGTATAAACTAGTTCACAATCTTATGATGACACATCTATTCTGTGACAGGGGAATAACATTACGCCATTCTAAGTAGATTACCTAATTATATTATATTCTCATACTCAAACTGAAAATTACATGTTCACGTCATTTTTGTATGTTTATCCCTATTGTTTCATTTTATAAGCTAAGCACTAAAGTCCGTGAAAGTCTTAGCTTAACAACAATCTGCAGATTTTACCGAACAGGAGAGGAAACGCCACTACACATCCTATGTAGTTGTAGCCAACTCATGCATAAACGAAATATCTCCTTTTGGAAAGTATACACTCTATCCTGAGGAGAGAAAATCCATCACTCCTAAGAATATCCTTCAATTCTTGTCCCTGACAGGTCTAGATAGTGAACTTTGTAAACGGGCGGGCAAAGTAGATCTTTGTAGGCCACAGTCTTACAGGTCTTAGCACCTGACAATAGCCCAATACTCCTAATAAAAAGCCCGCGAAGTCATGCCTGTTTTGTTTGTAAACCGCAATATATCAAACACAAAGTTTTAAGTGTAATAATTTAATCAAAACCTAAACTAAATCGGTTCAGTTGTTTCTGAAATTAGTACACAAACGCACACAGACAAAAAAATCCCTTCCGATCGATCCTCCATTCAATTCAATCGGGTATCAAAATGATGACGGCCTGAGCTGAGGTTCGAACCCCTAACGGTACTTTCAGGCTAAAGTCGTATCCGTCAGGCAGAGATTGGCATTCAGCCGCTCCATACGTCCTTCCGCGGGTTTGGAGCGCTATGCGCCATCTGCACTCGCCCCCTAGCGTCCTGTGAAGCTGTAAAAGCCAGCTGCGGCCAACAGCATTTGAGTTGTCCCGAAAAAAAACAGAAATTCTAACAAATCATTATTTTAGGTACAGATCGCGATAATTTCCATATTTATTATTGTATATATATGTTAATAAATATTAATTATTTGTTAAAGCTTTCTGTGACTCGGACAGGTTTCTCTGAAAACGTTGTGTTAATTAATACCTCTATAATTAGTCTCGAAGTAAGACCGAAAGGCAACAGTTTTCATCGCGGTTATTATTATTTACCATTTAATTATTTTCACAAAGCATTTCATTTCATTAATTCTGCTTCAGTGGTCTAGCGGTTAAGCGTACTGCCTTCCATTCCGATAGCCGCGGATTCGATTCCTCGCACTGTCAAACATTATATATATTCATGAGTATCATTATGTGTATACGTGTGGATGTTTGCATAATTACAACAAATATTTGTTATGTGAATTATATATTTGTGGTACACTCCAACTAAATATTGTTCTTTCTTACTATTCGTAAGCTAATGAAATGTCAAAGTTCAATCAACGAAGTATTAGTGAATAAAATGTGGATACCTTCATGATAGTTTCATGAGTATAATGAGATTTCGAACTTAGCTAAACACATAGATTACTTATTCAGACATGGCGACAGTTGGTAGATATATGATCAATAATTTATATACTAACTAGCAGACCCGGCCATGCGTTTTTGTGACTAAGGTTCTTGAATAAAATAATATTGTGACTATAAATTGAGATGTAAGCTATCCTATCCTTCAAGTTGGATCAAATTGCACACAATGTGCAAATGGTTCAGTAGTTTAGGAGTTCATCGCGGATAAACAACATGATACGTAATTTTAATATATATGTAGATTAACAAATATAAAAATCAATTGCTGTTCGTTAGTCTCGCTATAGATTGAAAACTGGTCTTTCTTTTTCCCCTTAAATACGTTGAAAAAACAAGTTCTCCTGAAAAGTTGATAAATGAAATATATTAACCTGTACCTTCTTAGAAAGCATTGTTTTTATATATTTTATTATTTAAATAGTTAAAGTCAACAGTATTAATTTCATATTCTTTTTATTAATTAATTCTATTTGTTATTTTTAATTTTATTTTATACTACTTAAAGATAGGACTGCGTATTATTTAATTCTCTACTTTATTTTTTTGTTTACTTTTTATTGTATTCACATTACTCCTTTACATTTGATATACACTCATTAAAATTATATATTTTAAATAAATAGATATTGTAAATTAAACAAAAAAATGTATATAGCACCATCTACCGTCAAGTCACAGAATTATGTAGCCTATTGCGCGACTTAACAAGTCAATGAAAACGAGACGAGTAAACTAATAGCACTATCATGCGATACCGACTGCCCAGCCTACTTTGTGTAGAAATGAATTACTACATCGGTTCATTCAATAACAACAAAGTACATCAACCTAAGATAACATTAAATAAGAGTCTTTATTGGAAAATTATTGTTTATTTGAAAGTGATCAGTGTAAAACAAGTCAGTGCCGTGTGTTATCCGTTATCCATGCTCTTGTGCGAATATTTAGGATACCAAAGTTTTTATAACCTCAAAATTTTGATATAAACAAACGAGATCAAAGGTGAGTTACTTTATATTAATTTAATCAAATGAGATTATATAAAATAAACTTGACATAGCATGGAGTGTTTACTGCTATATAATAGGTATTGTATTTAATATGAAATATATATACTACATATATACGTATATAGAATTAGGAAACTATATCTTGTATACTTAGTACTTATAAGAGCAATATAACATAAACTTGACATTATCGTTTAATTAAAAGGATTCTTAAATAAACTATTATTAATCATCCGAATACGTACCCGAAATAAATTAATTCAGTTTCATAGAATAAGTAGATCGATAGTACGTTAACGAATGTTCATATATATATATATATTTTCACTAGTAAAATTCAATAATATTACTAATGAAAATATAGTAAAACAACAATATGAAATTTCAAGTGAACAAAGTCGATAATCATTACAAAGTATACTTAATAATACAAACTCATTACAAAAGCAGTAAAACGCATTCTTAAAAGATTAGAAACAAATAATTTCTAAATTTTACGCACCTGTACACAGCGACAAAGCTAAATGACCATTAGAAATGGATCTAGGATACTTTACACTAATGACTTTAAAACGTATCAGTACTCACCTAAAACGTTATCGCATCAAGCAAATGGAACCGCTCGTTTCTCTCAACAGTTCAACCAGCGAAGGTATCTTTTTTTTAACACTAGAAGTCAGACGGCGGTATTCAGGCATGTCCATCACTACGCACAGATCAGAAAATATCTTACAAAACACACTTATACACCCTCAACACTGCATCCGAGACACAACTAAAACTGAAGCACAGGTTAAAACAAACTTGGCGATCGTTTTCGATATCGGCAGTAACACATCGTTCGTCCGGCGGAGGCCGTCGATTGTTCCGAAAGAAGCGATACAGTCCCACAAACCCACGCTACGACTACGATCTTAATGAGGAACAGGATCACATACACGCTAGAAACCCGAAATTGGCTCGAAAAATTTGTTTGTGCAACATTCGGAATGAAACATACAGGAGCGAGAGAATCGGGTACATAGCATTGAATGGAGTGCGCTTGGATCGTGCAGGATGCTACCCATTAGGCAAAAGAGCGTCCATTATTGTATTGTCGTGGGCTTATCGTAGTGTCTCCTCAAATTGCCGACTGGGAGCGATAAACGTGTGAGCGTCTGCAAGAAATTCGGTGGTCAATAATATGTATGTTATGTGTGTAGAGAATTTTGATCCAAAAGAGGTTATTTACAGGGGCGTGGATAAGCACTGTTCGGAATGATTTGACCCTACATATCTTCTACAAAATATTTAACGTCTCATTGAACTAGATAGGTAATCAGATTAGATTACATAATCTACTATGTGTTACTATTTTTCTTTGATATTCATAACGTACATTTAGGGATTACACAGAGCCTATAGGCGTTCTATGTAATGATTGTTGTTTGTCAATGAGCATTAAGAGGCCGCTACGAAGGGAATGATCACGGGACCGGATCCAGGATTACTCATGCTCGTTACTTCAATTGGAGAGTTAAGTACCGGAGAAGCTCTAAAGCCGGCCGCTTCCGTTCACATGTTTCACGTAGGAATCAAAGAAAATACTGTTCGTTTTTCCAGTACGCTGTAATATGAAAACCGTCAGTTCATTAAGGGTAATCTGTAAGAAATTGATTTAAGGGGTGAAGAAGACTTTTATTAAGCAATTTTTATACAAAGTGTTCTTTTTGTACCTATTTATTGCATCAATAATAGATTATAATTAAATTACAAAAACTGTAACAAAAGGTCTTATCGCTAAGCAATCTCTTCCAGGTCACCATTAGGTAGAGAAAGTAATGATAACAAAACATGTTCTTCAGTGCGCATTAATGATTTATATTATTACTACCTACCCGCCCCGATTTTGCACGGGTGTATATGTATTACTTATACATACTATCTATATATTAGAATCACTATCTAATGTTAGAAACTGCATTACTAGTTTGCAGTATTAACGAACAGACAGCGGAAGCAACTTTATTTTATACTATGTAAAGATTTAAAATGAGCCACTGAGCTGATTTTTTAAATGAAGATATCCTCTAGACTAGAATTATATGTGTTAATGTATCCAGGTTCATCTTTTGTCACAAGGTTGAAGCCATTCTAAATTACAATAACTGTTCCTGTAACGTTATATTAACCACTCGTTTTTATACGTATAGTTAGTCAAAATCACGGGATCTTACCAAAACTAACTAAAGTATCTAAGCGACCTCGGTTGTCTAGTGGTTTAGCACACCTGTTTACGTCCGATGGTAGCGGGTTCGATTCCTCGGACGGCACGAACATTTGTATTCATGAGTATGATTGTTTGTATCGGTCTGAGTGTTTTCTATATATAATATGTATGTATTTATGAAAAAAAATCTATGTATTTGTATCAGTTATCTAGTACCCATAAGACAAGCTTTAGCTAGCTTAACTTGGGTATATATGGCGCTGTGTGAATTGTCTGGAAATAAAAAAAACATGCAGAACATTTATATTATACATTGGTGTTCAGATTGATTGTAGTTAGTTGTGACCGTCCTTAATGCACGCGACCGAATTCGAGCGAGGATGCGTACAATAATCCGTGAGGTCACTGAGTTGAACAGTTGAACGAGTATATTTTGAGATACGCAACGATTACTGCTCTTGTGTATATCATATCCATATATCTATTGTATGTATCTAATCACTAGAATAGATAGTTCTTGTTTAGGAGAGTTACACAGTAGCTCAGTAATAGAACATACTAGGATATAAATCTTTAAGATATATTTAAATCTAGAAATTTCTATTACTAATCTGATACATACATCTCCGGAACTTATTATTGAAATTAAGTAATTAAGAGTAAGTAAACAAGTAAAGTAGGAGTCATACAAAATGTATAGTAGGGGAAAGGGATTGTCAGGTTGACATAGTGTATTGCACGTGGTTTCCCCCGGAAACTATGGTGATAAGTTCCTGGTGTATTTACAACGATGAGTTGATTTACATCTTATAATACACCAATGGTGCCCCGCCAGCATAAACCGTTTGTGCAGGCGAGTGCATCGTATCATTATCATCCATTAAAAAAATGTAGAAGTCGTAACTATTCTGCATTTAGTAATAGACGTTTCTCTCGTTAATTCAAATCGTATTAGATATTATAAATTTATAAGACTATTTAAATTTACTAAATATTTGATACGAACTGATAGCAGACAACATCTGTGGAGACAATACGGAAAATGGGCGAAAGGCATTGTTAGTAATGAACTAACGATCCCATTGCTACCATTTTAGGTTGACCTCCACGCGGTTCCCCCAGGTAACCCTGATGAACTCCTGATGTCTGTCATAATTGCCTGACCTCACGCTCATTTTATCATCCTCCACTCCAATAGTATCAACCGTTAGCGCAGGCGGGTGCAGCAGCACATTATTATTCATTAAAAAGTACTGAAAAACTAGTAAGCGTTATGTACAATAGTATAAAACAATTCTTGAGCACTATTATAATAAGTATTACAGACTGGCAATACAGGTGATACTAGGCATTTCATACCATCTACGGCTAATTAAGGCAACCTAAATACCGTAGTCGATTAGCGATTTTACCGGCAGCATCCAAATAGGTACATCACTAATAGAAACTCGATACCAGACGAATCCATCTTTATTTGCAGGCAAGTGTTTGCCACACTTACTAAAACATGTTTACCTCTTATATATATTACATACTAGCTGTGCCCGTGGCTTCGTTCGCGCAGCGCACTCAACGGAAGCCCTCAAATATAAATATTTTTTCACTGATGCATTACTTCTATTAGTTGGAGCGTAATGTTATATAGCTTAAAGCCTTTCTGGAATAATTGACTATCCATAACAAAAATAATTTTTCAATTCCAAACAGTAAGTAAATTTCTGAGATGAGCGCGTTCAAACAAACAAACTCTTCAGCTTTATAATATTATATATATTATTATTATATTATATATATATATATAGTATAGATTAGAATTTATCAGTCGTATGTTTTCCCACAATCATAATAATATTATGAATACTATAAGTAATGGCCGTTTCTCTTAGAATACTATACAAAAATAAGAAATTATAGCTATATCTCTGCTATTGGTAGTTATTTATTTATTTCAATATATCCAATACCATAACCGACTACAAGGGTATGGTGTGGTATACGCGCTAACTGTTTACGCTGGCAAGGTACCAGTGGAGGATGATATATCATGGTGGTTTCCAGGGAAGATCGCGTAGAGGTCAACCTTATATGCTACATTGCTAGCAATGGCGTCAAGAGTCCACATTACTAACTATCCCTTTCCACTCCGATGTAGATATTATTTTAATAATAATATAAATTATACTAGTATTAAACAACTGATATAAATACTTAGATTTTTTATATAAATTCATACACAATATACATGAAAAAAAAGTATGATTGTTTGTATCGATCTGGGTGAGACCGATACAAACAATCATACTCACGCAAACAAATGTTTGCACCGTGCTAGGACTCGAACCCGCAGCTAACGGAAGTAAAGCGGCGCGGCGTGCTTAACCGCTGGACCACCGAGGCCGTCAATAATAATGGCAAGTCATTGTTCTTTGCAAATGAAGAGTACACGGTTAAAGTGGCTTATCCCGGAAACATTACGTAATGTTATTCCTTACCGGACTTGGGTTTCGTTCAAACGAGAAGAAACCTGTTGTTTATGTCGATATGGAACAGTTTTAATTGAATTGTTAATTAGTTGCGTTTCAATTTAATGTTAAAACAATCAGGGAAATCAAAAGAGTTCATGCCCCGACTCTAGTTGATTAATTAATTAATTGCAACTATACTTTGATTAGGATTCCAGGTCATGTAATTGTAAACCATATTTCAATTAAATAAGAACTTATTTTCGCGCATAAAACAGTTTTTTTTTTATAAATGTGTTCGTTGTTTATATAAGGAAGAGAGTGCTATAGCACTAATGACACTTTTTGTATCATATTTTTTTGAGCAAATGAATATCTTTGTAAAAAATGTCTAGTTTTATATTATCATAATCTTAATCGATACTTGCTGATATTATAACGCTGATGAGTTTGTTTGAACGCGCTTATCTCAGGAACGACTGGTTCGAATTTAAAAAAAATGGTGTTGTATATAGACCATCTGTCGAGGGTTTTAAGCTATATAACATTACGCTACGACCAAGAGAAGAAAAGCATCAGTGACAAATGTTGCAAAAATGGGGAAAAATATTCATATTTGAGAGCTTCCGTTGCGTGCACTGCGTAAACGGTTCAAGTAACCCAAAAATATGTATGAAAGATTTATTTCTCTTTTGTCCTCGACTAATACGCGATAGTGTTTTCGATAACCACGCGAACGAAGTCGCGGGAACAGCTAGTAATATACTTATTTTAAAAAAAGTTTCCAGTTATTAGGTTTACTCCAATAGAAAATTAGATTAGAAAGCGCTATCCAACGCTAGTCTAAATATAGTCAAAACAATAAGCATAAATAATCAAAAGAGGTTAACGATCTAAAATTCCTCAAGGTGATAATGCAACACTGTATTGTAGTCGAGGTAATATTTAAGATAATTTTGTAGTAAAATAATATTCGTACCTACTAACTGCACGATTAATGTCCATCCAGTAACCTGTTGCATTATCGAAGTAGGTGAATATATAATAAGGTTATCTATATATCATTTTATTATTATTTTTTGAAGTAAATGATGACCTAGCGGTTTAGCTCACCGCTTTACTTACGATTATCACGGGTTCGATTCCTCGTAAGGTACAAACATTATTCATTCGTATTATTGTTATCTATCTAGGTGTTTTCTATGTTATGTATGTATTTATAAAAAATATCTATGTATTTATTATTTATTATATCTGTTGTCTAGTACTCATAAGTGCTCAATACAATCTCTACTTATTGTGGGACTAGGTGACGTTGTGTGAACTGTTCAGGGATATTAT